GGCCCCCAGCCTCCGCCCTCGGACCGGAGCCCCGGCCCCCAGCCTCCGCCCTCGGACCGGAGCCCCGGCCCCCAGTCCTTCTCCCTGAGATCCCGCAGTCCCGACCCCCAGCGCCTCCTCCCTTGGACCCAGGAGTCTGGACCCCGAGTCCCTCCTCCCTCAGGCGTGGAGCCCAGGCCCCCAGGGCCTCAGACCCCAGAAATCAGACTCAGTCCCTCCTCCCTCAGACCCGGGAGTCCTGACCCCCAGCGCCTCCTCCCTTAGACCCCAGAGGCCTCTTCCCTACTGCCTTAGAGCAGCAAGGGCTGAGTATCCGCCTCCTTCGGGAACCCAGGGGCCCCCAGCGCCCCACCCAGAGCCCCGGGACCTCTTTCCCTTCAAGGATCTAAGGTGTTCGCTCTAAAGCCCTTGTTCCCAGGGAGGCCCACGGCCTCAGCCCAGTGGTGCTCGCAACAGTGGTGCCTGGGAGCCGGGGTGGTTGGTAGGTGCCGACAGGCGGTCCACTCAGAGACCTCGTGTCCAACACAACTAAACACCGCCTGGTCAGAGGGGCACGTTCCAGGGCCCGCGCCCGCCCTGCCCCTCGGGGCCCAGGGATTCTGCTGCGGCTGTTTGCGGACCACGACGCCCCAAGTCCCGTCTGTGCTCCTCCCCTCCGCAGGGACCCAGGAGCAAGACCTTCGCCCTCAGACACCCAGAAATCACAGCCCCAGCTCTTGAATCAGGAACCCAGGAGTCCCCCATTAACAAAGACTAAAGCAAAACACTCCAAAAAACTGTTGCCACCGAGTGAAGTCCAACTCTTGGTGCCCCCATGTGTTACAGAGTAGAACTGCTCCCGGTTCCCCGGCTGCAACCTCCAGGGAGAGCAGCCCTGGTTGTGCAGTAGGTAAGCGCTCAGCTGCTAACCAAAAGGTCGGCAGCTGGTACCCGCCAGCTGCTCTAAGGGAGAAAGATGAGGCAGTTGGCTTCTGTGAAGATTGAGAGCCTGGCCTGGAAACCCTCTGGTGTAGTTCCTCTAGGGGGCGCTGTGGGTCAGAATGGACTCCACGGCAGTGAGTGTGGTTTGGGCTTTGCTTCTGTGAAGATTGACAGCCTTGGAGACCCTGTGGGCAGTTCCACTCTGTCCTCTGGGGACGCTGTGGGTCGGAATGGACTCCAAGGCAGTGGGTTTGGTTTTGGGGTGTCTACAAGAAGGAGCTCTGGTAGTATAGTGCCTAAAGCACTTGACTGCTAACCAGAAGGGTGGCGGTTCAAACCCACCAGCCACTCCTTGGAAGGAAGATGGGGCAATCTACTTCCCAAGGAGGGGTCGCTATGAGTTGGGTCCGACTCAACGGCTCCACCCACTACATGCTAGCAGCAGCCCCCAGAAGTTGTATCGAAAATGCCTCTTGACATCAACAAACATCTCCGGGGGTGCACAAACCACCCCACTGAACGCTACACTGTCCAAACGTAAGCGTGAAGTCCTAACCCTGGAGTGGCCCTGGCCCTGAGCCCTCCCCTTAAGCGGCAGAACCACCTCACTGACCGCGTCCCCAAGAACCCGTGGGGAATGGAACCCGCCGCTCAGATGAAAGAGAGTCCAGTGGACTCCTTGTCTTCATCCGTGGGCGATAGTGGCCGCAGGGTCAATTCTGACTGGAGGAAACCCCACGGGTTAAGAGAGCTGCCCCTGGGGTTTCCAAGGCCGTCATCTTCTAGGAAAGCACAGTGCCAAGTCTTCAACCGCTGAGCGGCTGGTAGGTTCCAATCCAAGACCTTTTGGTTGGCAGCAGAACTCTTGACCAGTGCGCCACTCGGGCCCTTTCCCATAAAGATTACAGCGTAGACAACCCTATGGGGCAGTTCTCTGTGTCACACGTGGGCTCGCTGAGTTGGACCAACCGGGTGGCACCGAACAAGAACCTGATGGAAGGAGACTGCCAGGGCTTTGCTCCATGGCGCCACTGGGTGCGTTCAAACTGCCAGCCTTTAGGTTAGAAGTTGAGCGCACACTGTTCGCACCACCCAGGGGCCGTGATCTTCATCCTGCCCTTCCTCGGTGTCCCCTTCCTGCCATCCCTGCATGCGCTCACACCCACCACCGGCTGGCACGTTCCATTCCATTGCCCTCAAATTCATGCCCTTCCAGGCCACTGGTCCCCTCGCCCAGCTGCTGTCCCCTCCCACCCAAACCACGACCCAGCCTCCCAGGGAAACCTGCTGGTGCCGACAGGACGCACTCTCCCACTGCCCTGAGGTTGGCGGTTCGAACCCCCCCAGCAGGACCATGGTGAGGCCTGGCGGTCTGCTTCCGTGACCAGAAAGACCCCACGGGGTGGGACACCCTGTCACGCACGGGGCCTCCGCGAGTCGGAACCAACGCCACGGCCACAGTTGGCCTTTGTTTGGTGTAGACAGGAAGGCCTCACGTTAACGACGTTTCCTGCTTTGTCTCGCTGAATCCTGCCATCATCGGTCAGACAGGGAACAGCACGGTCCCCATTAGACAGCTGACAAAACCAACAGATCGACCCACACCCTTCAAGGCCTCTACGGAACCAAGGGGACGGGATTCCTGGAACTGTGTTCCCGAGTCCACGGCCTGAAAGCTCCTGGAAACACGACTCTGTCACGTGGGCTGACTTCACAGAAGTAGAGACCGAGGCCCAGAGGGCGGAGACCCCCAGTAAGTCTGGTAGAGTCCTAAGTGGCTCAAAACTACAACTCCCGTGAGCCCCCGCGGCAGAGCCCCGCCAGGTCCAGCCCCCTGCTGCCGGGCGGAGTCGCGCGCGGGCTCACCTGAGCACGTAGGAGCGGGCGGGCGCGCTCTTGTAGACGTACTGCGCCAGCCACCACTGCACCGTCATGTTCCAGTACCGCATGCCGTCCCGCACGCGCACGCAGAAGTCCGTGCCGTAGCAGTCGATGTTGCGGATGGTCTCATAGTCGTACTGGAGGGCGGCTGCCTCCTCGGGACTGGGGGAGGGGGGAGGGTGAGGGTGGGGGGCACACATGCGGCTGAGCCAGGCCCCCTCCCCAGGCCTGCGCCTGTCCCAGCCCCGGGCGGGGATGTGCCAGGCCACAACTCCACGGCCTTCGAACTCTAGGGCGACAGGGGAAGGCGGGCCGCGGGAGCCCTGTGGGGAGGAAGGGTGCCGGGGCTCGCGGCAGCCCTGAGGAGCCTCGAGGGGCTACCGTTGCTAAGCTACGTTAACACGCTGGGCTCTCCACTGAGCGCAGCCACTAGGCAAAGCCATTCCTTAACAACCGCGGTGGCCTATTCCAAGCAGCTTCCAGAAGGCCCCCTCCAAGGTGCCGGGCATGGTGGTTGCTAGGGAAGTACCAACCCTAACAAGGTGACTCATGGTTGCTAGGGAGATGTTCTAGGCCCGCGTGACAGACACCTGGATGGCCCCGGTTGCTAGGGAAGGGGCATTCCTTAGCAACAAGGGCGATGTTCAGACAGCTGTGGGAGCGTCTCCTGACTCTTGGTCCCTGTGGTGGTTTGGGAAGCGTCACCTGCTGTGGGGTCACATCCTGGTGCGTCTGGGGCCTCAGTGGCTGCCCATGACAGTAGGGGGGCCACTCGCGAGCAGTGGGGCCTGGCAGGCTTAGGAAAGCCTTTGGTTCCTGCCTTCCATTTCCCGGGAGACGACATCCCTAGCGCCTTAAGGTGAGCCCCTGGTCAGCAGGGCTGTGGCAGCGGCTCCTGTGGGGAAGGACCCCCCAGCGGCAGGACGGCAGTTGGCTGCTATGCACAGCACAAGGAGCCCTGGTAGCAGAGTGGTTCAGTGCTAGGCTGCCAACCAAAAGGTGGGTGGTTCAAACTCACCAGCCACCCTGGGAGAAAGATGCCGGCCTTGAAAGCCTAGGGCGCAGTTCCGCTCTGTGCTAGTAGACTTGAGGGCAATGGGGGGTTTGCTTTTATTTTCAGAAAAAGGAGCCCTGGCGGTGCAGTGGTTACGCTGCTAAGACACAGGTCAGCAGTGGGAACTCACGGAGCAGCTCCGCGAGAGAGACACCTGGTGATCGGCTCCGGTAACAAGCACAGCCCGGGAAACGCTCTGGGGCGGCTGCCCTGCGTCCCACGGGGAGGTGGAGTGGACTGCACGGCACAGGACAACAGCGAAGGTGCCGGAGGAATTACCGCTAGCGGGGGGGGGGTGTGTGTGTGTCAGTCCGCAGTCATGGGGGGGTCCAGCTTCCTCGGCAACAGCAGGAAGGGGACCTGCAGCAGCCGGGAATGGTGGGCCTTCCGCTAGGGGCGCTAACTCCCAGGAAGAGTGCGACTGCGCTGTGCGCTCGCGGCTCTACTTCCTTCCGCACGGGGCCTGGCTGACCGAGCGGCTGTTCCTGCTCCGGGGAAGCGGCGACCCCCGGTTACTAGGGCCCCGCCTCCCAAGCGGAGTTCCGCTGATAGGGGCCCGGGGACCGAAGGAGCAAGGGCGCTCCCCACGGCCGAACCACAGCATCCCGGGGAACCAGGAAGCGTCTGGTTGCCAGGGTGCCTGTGGCTGCTGAGGGACGCCCTGCCGCCTCCTAGCGACCGAGCGCATCGCTGCATCGCGGAGCGCCTGGGTGGCTGGGAGCCGGGAGCACGGCCTGGAAAAGCCTGGGCGCCCGCTGCTCCCCTCGGACCCGTGGGGGTCCACACTCCGGCGCCCCCGACAGAAAACAAGGGGCACAGCCCCCACCGGCGCCCCCCGGCCCCCACCGAGGCGCCGATCCGCCCACCTGACCCCCGGCGCCCCGCTCTCCTGGCCGCTAGGGGCAGCCCCAGCCCTTGGAGGCCGGGCCGGGTGGGTCGCGGGCAGCCTCCCTCCCGCCGCCTGACCTGCTGGGGGGTGGGCATTGGAGGGTGGGGCCGGCCCCGGCCCGGGCTTTGGCGGCCACAGGGTAGGCCCCGAGGCCGGCGGCCACGCAGCCGCACTCGGCCGTGATCCAGGCCACATAGAAGCGCATGCGGAAGGCGAAGAAGACGGGGATCATGTAGAAGAGGCGCGCGGGCAGCGGGCGGGCGTAGAAGGCGTCCTCGCGCACGGCCTCCAGCGGGAAGAGGTGCGAGGACAGCAGGAAGAGCAGGCCGAAGAGCGGCGCGGGCCAGGCGCGGCGCAGCAGGGGCCGCAGGCTGGGCACGGCGCCCGGGAAGGGCTGCTGCAGCCAGTCCAGGTACGTGCGGTAGCGGAAGAACGGGCCTGCGCGGGAGGAGGGCCGCGGTGAGCGCAACCAGGGCGGCCGCAGCGCCAGGCTCCCAGGGCCCGGGAGGGCGGCCGGGGCGCCGAGAGACGGGGGTGCAGACTCAGGGGCCAGTACGAGACCCGGAGCGGAGTGGGGGATACTGGGGGTGGGG